AGCAAAGTTTTGCTTCTTCTTTCAGCAAGACCATTGTATTGTAGAGTATATGGAGCAGTCACCTCATGTTTAACTCCATTCATCTCACAGGACCTTTTGAACTCTAATGAGTTGTACTCACCTTCACCATCAGTTCTGAGAATTTTCAGCTTTTGTCCACTTTGTTTTTGAGCCTTCACCTTAAACTTCTGAAACTCAGCAAACACCTAATGCTTAAGACTTATGAGTGCTACCCATGTCATTCTTGTGAACTCATCCACAAATGACATAAAGTACTTATTTTCTCCAAGTGAATGTACTTCAAATGATCCACATACATCATAATACACTACTCCCAAAGCATATATTTCTCTTAAAGCCACTTCTGATGCAAATAGAAATCTAGGTTACCTGTCTTTCATGCATATCTCACATGACTTCTCAGGCTTCACAATCTTATAAATGCCATGTACCAGCTTCTTAAACCTTAAATTCCCTAAGCTTTTGAAGTTTAGATGCTCCAATCTCTTGTACCACAACTCACTGTCACCTTCAGTACCTTATACACTAAGGCATTTAGTTTCAGGTTTTTCCAAATTCACCTTGAATGTTTTCTTGCTTCCCTGTTTAGATTGCATAATCAACTTATGATCAAAATCGTACAAATTCAAGAGATTGTCTTTCATAGTAATTGAGAAACCTTTCTCAATTAGCTGACATACACTTATCAGATTACTTTTCATGTTAGGGACATACCAAACATACTTGATCAGAACAATTTTGTCATTATTCACTTTGACCTTGACATTTCTCATTCCTTCAGCATTTAGATGCTTATCATCAGCATATTTGATCTTTTTACTCTTTCTAGATTTAAAATTAATCAGCCATTGTTTGTTTCCACATAGGTGATTTGAGTAGCCAATGTCCATATACCACTAGTCTACCAAATATTCACCATCAGATTTAGAAGCCATCAATAGCACGGGTTCATCATCAGATTCTCCTCTGGCTATCTTTGCTTCTTTTGATTTCCTTTCGTTATTTGACCAATAGTCAGCAGCAAAGTGACCAAACTTCTTACAACAGTAGCACTGAACCCTCTTCTTGTCAAACTTCTCCTTTCCCTTTTGACGTTTCTTCTCATCAAAGTTGGAGGCTTCTAACTTCTGATAACCACCATTGTGTCTCTTGTTGCCCTCTGACTAATTCTTGGCCTCTTACCAAGAATGCTTTTGATTCTTCTTACTAAAAGACGCCTTCAGAACCTGCTCTACCTCTCTTTCAGAGGTTCTCTCAGTCAAGTGCATCTTGTGTCTCTAGACTACTTTGCAGCTCTTCAATTCTCATGGTGTTTAGGTCCTTAAAGTATTCAATTGCTACAACAATGTAATCAAACTGAGGAGTAAATGATCTCAGTAGCTTTTCAATGATTACTTGTTCAGAGACAGTTTCTCCACAAGATTTCATCTCATTTGTGATTAGAATCACTCTGGAGTTGTAATCAAGTACCTTCGCATTGTTCTTCATTTTGTAATTCTCATACTTCTTACAGTGAGAGTGAAGTTTCACCTTCTTCAATGATGCATCACGGCCGTAGCACCGTACTAGTGTGTCCCACGCAGCCTTTGTTGTCGTTGAATCAACGATCTTCTCAAACTCATTCATATCCATACACTTGTATAGAACAACGTCTTATGATCATTCTTCCTCGTTTCTCTATGCATATTTCTCTATGCTTCTGTTGCATATGCTGCAACCGTCGCGTAACTGTCATTAACTAGATCAATAACATCTTGAGCACCAAACAAACACGCATCTGAATCATCCATCGATTCTAATTTTTTTCATCAAAGACTGGAAGCTTTGTGTTCAAGCTACCGTTTCCTCTGTTCATCTTCGATCTTGTACAAATTCACTCAAATCTCACAAAAAAAATGTGATTTTTTTATTGAGATCTTCAATTTATTATTTTTTATCAAAACTAATGAAGTTGGTAAGAGATATTAGAGGTATTATTTGTATTTCTTGCTTACAGCGCCACTAATTAAAATTATTATAGATGCTTAAGCACCTTATGAAGAAATAGTGCACTCGTAGATAGAAGAACTAAGTGAATGTTGGGTGCCACGTAACTCAATATTTTAAAAAATTACACATTACTCGCATGATTATCATAGTAAGGTTAAAGTGTGTTGACCACATCGTTTAAACCAATATGACAAGTATTCATCTATAAATAATGCAATTGTAAAAAAAAAAAAAAAAAAAAAAAAAAATTAACACATGATTAATCAAACAAAATTTTTACGCATTTCTATCACTTTATCATTTTGTATTACTTTATGATATGTGTTCTTAGTCTAGTAGCTCAAACATAAAAACAATGTTCTCTCTATTATTATTTGTAGACAAAAACACATTTTTTAAAAATAAATTATAAGTAAAAAACCATCAACTTTATTTCATTTAAATATTTTATTTAAAAAATATATCTTTTTTAATGTAAAATTAAATGCAAAATGTATTTAATTTGTTTTGTCTATCATTTTTTTTCAATAAATAATAATTAATTGGAATTATTTTTATATCTTTCTATAAAATATATTTAACAAATACAAAAATTTAAATTTTTTAAGTAGTATGAAAATGTTACTTTTACATATAAATTGTTATAAAGAGGTATGTATACTATATTACAAAAATCTCAAGTTCCACATTAATTGAAGATAGAGCGTTGAAAGAGTTTATATAGAGTATCAACTTTCGTCTTACAAGTCGTTTTTATATGGATGAGTTAAGTTAAATTCTAATATGATATCAGAGTCTATCGATTGAGTCTGGACTGTCCACTAGTTAAATCCACGCACTAAACTCGAAAGAGTATTGGACGTGAGTGGGTGTATTAGAAAATCTCAAGTATCACATTGGTTGGAGATAGAACATTGATTGAAAGAGTTTATATAAAGTAACACTCATCATCTTACAAGCAATGTTTTAAAAATCGGATCGATCATCAAACGATGAGGATATTGGATTATTGGTTCATTGGTCGAACTACTGGGTCATTGGTTGAGCTGCATGACTAAACTGAATAAAACCAGAAAACTCAATTGAATAAACTTGTCACTATAACAAAATTATATATATATATATTAAACCGGTTGAATCAGATGACTCGATATTAAAAAAAAAAAACCGCTAACACCTAAAAAATTTTAAAATATCATAATTTCACACAAGTTTATAATTTAAATTCAAATTTGAATCAATTATAAATTTGAGTTAATTATTTGATTTAAAAATGTAATCAAAGTATCAATCTCAAATATAAATTTATGTTTGTTGTTTATCAAATATGCATTATCATTTACTTTATGCAACGCCTCCGTCCAACTAATAGAAATCAATGGTATCAATCACATATGAGAGAAAAGAGAGTATGTTTAAATTCAGCAACTTACAAATGTTATAATACTGCAATAGCCTCTATATATTTAACATCACTGTCACCAAATTTTAAATAAAAAAATATCAATTTTCTCATATTTTAATTTTAATTTTTTTCAAAATAACAAAAAGCGACGCCGTTTTAATTAAAAAAACACACTTAAACTGTCGATTTTCCGATTTTTACCAATTATCATCAATTCAATTACATATTTGATCCAATAATTGAACCAGATCAATTATCACTTCGATTCTCGGTTCAACCGATCTGACAGATCGATTCAGTCCAATTTTTAAAACTATGCTTACAAGTTAATTTTATAAGGATGAGTTAGGTTAACTTTAATATAAACTTCTTAAAAAAGAAATAAAGTTTATACCAAATATTACTTAGTGGTGATTGACGTTGAATCTATTAAAAAAGATTATGATTCAATCTCTCACCATTGTGATTGAGAGGAGACTACAATCACTTAATATTAAAACTCATTTTTAAAATAAATTAGTAGTGAAGAAAAAAGAGAGAATATACTATTAATAAAATGGTCAAATTGAATGATTTTTGACAAGTATAATGATTGAATTAAAATACTATTAAAAAATCTATAAGTACACTTATTAAAGTTGAAAAAAATTGATAGGATAAGGGAAAAGTATAACTTAGAAACTTAGATAAATTATAAATGTCAAACCTAAATTTAAATAAAAATTACTGGACCTGAATTCAAATTACCATTAATAGTGAACTTTTTAGAAGATGACATTTTAGTTTCTTAGTTTTTGCACAGATACAATAAATACATTGTAAATAGAGAAAATAAAAATTATTTTAAAGTGGTCTATTCATTGGGTGAGAGAGAGATAATATAAAAAAAAATCAATTTTAAATGAAAAATAATTAATATATAATTTATGGTGAAGAAAATGATATACTTCCTTCGTTTTAAAATTACTATCATTTAAAATTTTTACGCATAGATTAAAAAATATAATAATATTTTTTTGAGATATTACATTTTTATTAAATTAATTATATTAATATATTAGAAATAATATACACAATAATAATTATACAATACAAATAAAAAAATAACAATTATTATTACGTTAAAAGATGAGAATAACATTTATTTTAAAATAGAAATAATATTAATTGCGCTTATCCTATGTATAGGTTAGAAAAGCCCGGCTAAAAATTGAGATACTATTCAATCCTGGGTTAATTTTGTTTCCGACCGTTACGAATTTTCCAATCTCCAACGGAAACTTTTATTTATTTATTTCTTTATTACCGCGCGTAAATCCAACATTGGAAGACGTATTTCCAGCTCAACGTGTAATATAATTCTTCTCCTCGATAATCATTCATCATAATTCATAAATGGACCCTCTCAACACAACGGCTTAAAATCAAACGACCCGCGTCTTCACACTTCACGTGCTTACATTTTCACGCGCTTAATTTCCTATAAATATTCATCTAATCTCTTTGCTTTTCTCAAACACTCTACTCTCTTTTCACAAACACTCTATTTTCTCTCTGTAATTTGAAGAATTCTGGAGAAATAACTATGTCTTTCTTCAACGTGAACTTGTCTTTAACGATTGTGGCTTTATTGTTATTGAGCACTTCAATGGCTCAATCTCCAACCAAATCTCAGCCACCAAGAAGAGCAATTTCTCCCTCACCTGCTGCCGTAACTCAATCACCGGCGTCTTCTCCATCTTCCGGAAGTTCTCCTCCCGAACCATCTACTTTTGCTCCGGCGATCTCTCCTTCCTCCATCTCTTCTCCGCCATCTGAAGCACCAGGACCTGCTTCCAACGCTGTCCTTTTGAACAGAGTTTCAGTAGCCGCTGGATCTGCTCTTATGATTTTCGTAGCTGTTTTGATCTCGTAGATATTGATTTTGCTATGGATGTTTATTTTTAGTTTTTTTAATTCAATTGATTTATTTATTTATTTTGTTACAGTTATTCTCACTAATACAGATAAGTTTGATTTAATTAATAATAATTAAATTTCTGTGATGCGTTGGTTCTCTTGATTACTTACAAGATCGACTATAGCAATAAAAGTTTGAGTCAAGATTTATTTTAGTCACTGATAAACATTAGACTCTTAACTTCTATTGTAATTTGGTGTCAGTAGCTCTTTTTATGCCAAATTAACATAAGTATTTGTTAGATAATCCTTCTATGTCGAATGGATCCAGACTGAATCGTGAACGAAATCACTTTCTTTAAAAGTATTTCAATCACACTCTCAAATTGTCTTAGAGTTGGAACGGTCTGAATACCCAGGATAAGTCAGTCTTTTTTTCGAAACTGCACAAGACTGGTGAAGTTTAGAATGCAAGGAAAACGTTGGAATTATATGGAAGAGGATTTCAGAATTTAGATAATCCTTCTATGTCGAATGGATCCAGACTGAATCGTGAACGAAATCACTTTCTTTAAAAGTATTTCAATCACACTCTCAAATTGTCTTAGAGTTGGAACGGCCTGAATACCCAGGATAAGTCAGTCTTTTTCTCGAAACTGCACAAGACTGGTGAAGTTTAGAATGCAAGAATTAGCTAGAGCAGCGGGTGCTGTAGCGAAACTGATTGCAAAAGAAGGTAAATCAGCAACATTAAAATTACCTTCTGGCGAGGTCCGTTTGATATCCAAAAACTGCTCAGCAACAGTTGGTCAAGTAGGGAATTATATGGAAGAGGATTTCAGAATTTTTGGAGTGTTTAATTTCGAATTATCAATCATATATTTATAGCCATGCATGTGTCTTTTCAGCAGTTTGCAGTTCTTCATAAACACACTCTCTAACGAGCATTTGCAATGGTTCAAATAAAATGATATGCACCAATTCAGGAAGTGTCATGTATTTCGAATTCAAATTCAAAATTCAAACTCTAGGCAACGAATGAAATCTGGAGCTATAATTAAAAATAAATTCGCAGTATATCGGCCGAAGGCCGGTCCGCCCGCCGTCTACAAACCGCCACTAGCGCCTCTACGCCCACGGATCCAGTTCCGGAGCCGGTGTCGCCGGTGGCCCGGCGATCGGTGTTTTGCATGAGACAAGTGACATAAGTTTTGGCACCACCACATATGACTATGTGACACTTTATCCTCTTTGGCTCTTTTGGAAATTACATTGTTCCAAATGCCTTATAAATGCTATTTAATTTTACTCCTCTTCCAATGTGGGACTAAGCATTTATTGTTAATTAAATATAACACCTACTTTGTCATTTTGGAACAACATTAATGGAAATAAAATATTATTTCCAACAGTATTTGCTTACAACTAATTAAAAAATCCACAAATAAATAAAACATAACAAGTACCAATAAAAAAAATTTCCTATTGCAGAAGTTACTCCAAAGGAAAATGCAATTGATTATCCATAATAAAACCTGTCACATTCAAGTTAAGGCAGATGGAATGATTTTCTAAAGTAGATAGGCCAACTTCTCGCAGAAGAGGCTCCCCACACCATGAGGCTCTCCAGAAATTAATGGAAGATCCATTACCCAACAACCATATAGGTTTGCTGGACAAATTATTATATCAAGGCTTCAAGCTAGACCCAAAAAAAAAAGAAAAAAGAATGATGTTTGATGGTGCCAAATTTTCTCAAGACTCTAGCTTTCAACAACTTGGCTTATAGCTCATCACTTTTCACTAAATCCAAATAATGCTTCAAATTGGAGGCCTCATTTCAACACACAAGTGGTCTTATCCCTAAACCGCCATGAGAATGAGGTTTCTTCCAAGCCACAACGACTAGTTTTCTTTTGATGACATCTTCAATGGATTTGAGCTGTGAGGTGGGCCAAGCATGAACAAAGATGGAATGAGTGAGCATACTTTGACCGACTAATTTCAATAGTAATTATCTACCATTAACTGATAAGAGTGAGGCTTTTAATGTAAGAAGTTTAACAAAGATTATGTAAGGAAGAGGTTTAAGGTATCTAGCCTTAAACCTTCTTTTGAAAGTGGGGATAGCAAGATAGGCCAAAGGCAGGGAACCTTTATTGAAACCAGATAAAGAGACTATGTGCCTTAGATTGTTAGATGACATTGATCCTTGTGGAACTTTGTTTTTCAAGTGATATGCCTTTAACAAAAACAACAACTTTTAATGATGACAACTAATGTCTAATGATGGAAATTATAACATCCAACTTTCCGACTCGACAATTAATCAAATAAAGCATGTATAAATAGAATTATTCACTAGGTAGGATATTACTCGCACAATCCAAACTATCAAAACATTCTTGAACCACATTATAATGGAAAAAACAACTCATTTAATAAGCAGAAGAATTACGAAAACACTTGGTATAAAAGTCTCAACACAATTATTAGTTTGAAAAGGTAATTCTTTGCAAAATAAACTAAACATAAAGATAAGTAACATAAACACTTGGCATTGATTGCTATTGACTATCACAAATGTAGACCCCTTTTTTAAAGTTGATTGCATCTAATGACAAAAAAATGCTAGAGATAAATATCATGACATCTTGTCTCACATTACACTCCCAGAACAATTTCTTATCAATTAGTTCCATGTTGTCCCCGGATATGATGTTGTTAGTTATAAGAGAGCATCTACTAGATGTACTCATTTTGTTACACTTGTATCTCAACATGATGAACTCCTCGTCTAGCGCACAAATTTCCTTCAGCAGATGTAGCATTTCCTTGAATGTCAAAATTCTTTTTGTTATCTCTTCTTCAAGATATATCCTTTTGTGGTACAACTACGTCCTTTTCAATAGACTTCCTTCAACTAAGAAAGGAACTTTGAGTGTGAGAATCTCTAGGTCATTCAGCCTTCTTTGGATGTTGGACCTCCTGACTAAGGCATTTGCTTTAACATCATATCTTGATTTGATCTTTCTAGTTTCTTCGGGTTATTCATCCTTCCTTAGTAACTTAGTTTTTAACGTATTTGTCATATCTTGGACAACATCTTCCTTATCAAATTTAATGACATCCTTGAGCATTGGTTCACTCCATCACAGTTGAGTGCAGCTTATTCCTTAGGAATCACATGGGAAATTCTTCATTTTTCTATTCTTGAAAATCAAAAAAGTAGCTCACATCTTCAGCCATGTTAAACTCATACTCAGTTATCCCTTGTTGAACACTCTGCAGAGTCATGTTTCCCATCATCAGTTCTTCACAGTCTCTTATGTTGATATCAGAAGTTTCATTCCAGGTACTATTCTCAACTATTTCAGCAGATACAAAGGTAATAACTTATTTCTTATTATATCCAATTGTGGATTGATATTCATCATTCTGAGGAGACTTGTCATCCATAGATTGTGTGTTCTTTGAGATTATACTCAGCTTCTCACTATTAGCAATAGTCTGATCATGATTATCATCACTATTGTCAACTATACCACCATCATCCTCAACATATTCATGGTTATGATGATTAACTTCCTTATGCACTCGATATTCAACCAACATGTTGGATAGGATGTCTGACACATCATCATCATCATGATTTCTATAACCTGGATTATGGGAATATTCATTATGAAGCATTTTCATAGGCCCCATTCTGACAGAACCATATTTAGAATCCCCCTAGAATCTAGATCATAATTGTCTAATACATACTCTAGCACATCATCTTTCAATTCATCAAGCACCATGGCATGTTGTTGATTAGTCATACTTTTAGATATATGAGAAGGACTTCTATCATAACCATTATTCTTCCTTAGTTGAACTATAGTAGGTTATTCAAAGTTGAGAAGACCTCTAACTTTATCATCAGTCTTCTCTTCAATGACACAATCCTCATGAGTTACTTCAGACTCCTGAGACATATGTTAGACCATCTGTTTTAACATATTGGTAGACATTTCCTCTTCAAGCATGACATCTTTATCAATCCTGAGGCCTTGCAAACTCTTGATGTCTTCCTTCTTCTACACAAGAACTTCTTTACTTTTGACACAATGTTTAGACTTGTTGAAGTTCATATTCCTCTTTTGTATACACAGTTGATTCACATTGGTAGATGATGGGCTAAAGACGTGTCTACTTATGCGTCTAGCGGTATCTTACTGCAAGTGCACAGCCTATCGAAGTAATATAAAAGATTGTCGAACCCACAGAGACCAATGTCAATCTACCGTTATCTATTGTTACGGCGTAAAGCTAAGGCGAATGGTTGTCACGATTTTTGTTGGTTTCTAAGACTATTAAAGGCGGAATTAAATTTAAGTTTTAATAAAATAATATTAAGGCGGTCGGTATGTAATTATACTAACTTAGGTGGGTCAATCTAACCTAGGCTTATAAAGGTGTTCACTTAATCTATTCGGTAGAGATTACCAGTTTAAATACCCTCAACTCACACTCTCGTGGTCTTATATCAGATCTTATCCCCAAAGCCCTATGCCTGCTCTCGCTAGCCCATAAGTGTTTAGAGATAATTTTTGGAAACTAAATAATTCTAATTTATCTTAAAGCGCTCTCGCTGTATTTAATTTAAATGCCTAACTTTAGCTATCTGGTTAAAATCTCACACTCTCGTGGTCTTGACCCAACCTAATACTCTTTTCTTACTCTCGTAACGAAAAGGTCTATTTCGATTAAAAAGTATCAGCCAGAATATTAAGTGATTAATTATTTTTAGCCTATGGTTATATTTCACCAGTTAAGTTTGTTATAACTACATACCGCCCTAAGGTTTTTAGCTACTCATCGATGTTGAACCAGACAGAGACAGGGAATTTAATAATAATGTACTCACGGCAGAAAAATAAATAGACATTATAAATAAATCAAATTGCAATATAATAAAAACCTGGTTAACAGATAATTGAGCAGACCCTTCTTCCACAGACCGGAAAGCTC